AAACGGCAAACTTCGCAAGGCTATATTATCCGCATTTTACAAGATTTTGCAACAAAACTTTGGAATATTACTAATTTTGTGATGCTCTTTCAAACTGTGATGAAATTTTTGTCTAGATCGAAATTTTAGTTATAAGGGGAAAGGTCCATTCGGACTGGACTTCTCCTCGGGCTCGATCAAATTGCGCGGATTTAAATAGATTTCAAATTCGCGCAATTTGATCAAGTCCGAGGCGAAGTCCAGTACTCATAGTCGCCGGATTTGAAACATTGCTTCTAGTATTTATAGAATTTACTGATTGAAATTGGCATGTGATCAGTCAAGGGCTTATGAAAAATCTCGGTTGAAAATAGTCCAAGTATACTAAACCATTTAGTTATACGATTTAATACTAATCTAAGTAATCTTGCTTCGCAATGGCAAGGCGTGGGAAAGCCTTGCTAAAAATCATAAGAAGATAAGTATTATACTTATAGCACATTTAATCAGGGGATGACGTCTTTGATTACGTGACAGAAACATGGTCATTAAAACTTCTTTTATTAATGCAGGATAAAATCCATGCGTACGGAAAGTTAAGTTTGTTCCATTAATCTCTGCTACACAATGCCGCAACGTTGAGTGATTTTAGTTAAAATATGACTTAAGCCAGGTTTCCATATGATCGTAACGGTTGTAAAAATGGGATCACGACAGGTGCGCCGGAAAGTCGATAATTGGGGGGGAGGGGGAGATATTCATATATTCGTGTTCACAGACTGTAAAAACAATCGCTTTCACAGGAAATAAATTATGCAGAACATGAATATATGAATATCTGCCCCCCCCCCCAATTATCAACTTTCCGTCGCCCCTGGATCACGATCTTGCTCAACGGCCAGATTATAATAGGTTTTTTTTACCTGTAAACCATGTATTCTCTATTCATAATCAATCTGCCTATTTCCAGTGCTAAACTGTCGTATTTCGGCTTTTGAGAAAGATTGTGATTCCATCTGACAAAATAACAGCATTGTTACAACTTGTTGACAAGCTTGCTACAAACCTGTTGCAAAAACATCTTGTTGATAGGTTGTCTGTGGTTTTGACGTGTGTACCCACGTAACCTCGCATCTTGTTGAAACTCTGCTAACAAGCTGTCAACAGGTTGTGTTCGCACTGCTTGTCCCAAGTTGTCAAAAAGTTTGGAACAAGCTGTTAACAACCTGTAACAAACCTTGCTGATATTATCAGACTTGTTGCAAGGTTGTTCCAACAAGTCCGACACAGTCACGATATAACAATATTGTTACAACCTTGTGTCGTCAATCTTGTAACATTCTAGTTATTTCACAAGGTTGTTTTGAAAGTCTGATACAGTCACAGTAACAAATCTGATAATGCCATCAAGTTTGTTACACGTTGTTAACAGCCTGTTTCAAACTTATCGCAACAACTGGAAACAAGCAGTGCGAACACCATTTGTCGACAGCTTTTGAATAGATTTCTAAGATTTGTAACAACTTGTTTGCAGACCTGTAAGTGCTGTAACAACTTATGCGTTTTTATGCGAGGCGTACCTAGGGCGTACCCAGTGAAATGAGCGCGTACCTATTTTTTTACGCATGCGGGCAATACCGCTGCTTGCTCGCTGGCTCGACATTCGGCCACATTGTGTAATTTAAATTTTCGAATTTCAAAATTTTTCAGTTCGCTTCTAAAATTAAAACGGTCTTTAAAATGTTAGAAGTGGACTTGCTAGAGCTTTTTAAGACCTTTCCCATGTGTATGACCGTCTTGATCGTCATTCCAGTCGCTTTTCTCACGTCCCCGGCCACCGGAGCTCACGAATTTAAGGCGTTTCGAATGCAACATTACGACTTACATGGCGTTCACTACGGTGAGTTTATGTATACTAAAAGGATGCTGTTGTATTATGTTTCGTCTTTATCTCGTATTTAGCGATCAGATATGTAGTTTGTAGTGGAATGGTTAGTTTTGAGAAAGGAAGAGGGTATTAAATATGTAGTTGTTTGTTATTAGATACAAATGAAACAAATTCAATATAAACAACGAGCACATGGTTGATTTCCTTCTTTGCGGGTGTCAATGAACTTAGCATCCGGTTTCGTAATTTCCTAGGCTGCATTTACACTATAACAGCTAGCATTCTGTTAAAAATTAACTATGTTTGTTAGTAGTGGGTTTACACTATAACAGCTAGAATTCTGTTAAACATTAACTAGTTTCTTAGTATTGGGTTTACACAATAACAGTGGTTTGCCGTATCGTACCAACTACTCACGATTACGCGTGGCACTCTAGATGCAAATCAATATGCTACGGTAAATTTGCCGTGGCGTTATGGTGTAAACGTGGCCAAATAACACCCTAGCCCTAGCAACGAATGCCCTTGAGTCAAATCGAGAGCACACAGTGTTATTAAGTAGGCTTGTATTGAATCATGTGCTTGAACCAACCATAGTAATAATGGGTTTTGCAACTGTCATAAAATACATTTTGTCTCACTTCCCTATATCCCTTACCCTACAACAACCACTCAATGTCTAGTTGATTCAGAAGAATCTGTTCTCATCACAGTGAGTTTTCAATTGCAATGATTTTAATTTTTCTCTTTGCCACACATTTGTCTTTCCAAGACTACCAAGTAAAATAATTATTTGCAGGCCTGCCTTTCTAATGTGAGCAATGAATGGACACAGAAAATGTCCGTATTAGAGAGGTGTTGCAAGGGAGATGTTCAATTGTAGTTAAATTTCCATAAACTTAAATGTAGGTTCTCGAAGCGCTCTGGTCAACATGGAAGCACGGCCAATCACAGCTGGTACAGTTACACGCCGATGCATTGTTGTCAAAATAGGGGAGCTGGCATACGACCGTTTTAAAGAAATCCTGGAACAAGGAGCTGGCTCAATTCTTGTTCTGTTGCCAAGGAATATATCTCGATATTCCCTTGAGGAAATACAGGTTGAAAACCCACTTGTTATAATAAAAAGATTCATGACATTTATTATATTTCAAAAAATGGCTTCAGTTAAACCTGGTTGCATAATCAACTATAAAAATTGATGCAAAAAGTGCTATGATCATAGCTAACTTTTGAGCTATGCTTTGGTACATATATTTTTAAAAAATGCTCTCGGAAAATGGGTGGGTCTGAATAGGTCTGGTAGGTGGGGTTCTCATAGAGCTTTGGTTATGTTTTAGGGTGTGACCAAGTTCATATTTACTAGAATACACTATGGCAACCGGGCATTAGCTAGTTTGTTCTTTTGCATGACAATTTTGCAATCATGTTCCCCCATTTTGTTTATTTAGTTTTTGTAAATATGTAAAAAAATAAGGAAATCGGCTGCCCCTTTACCAAGGCTAGTATGGATGTGCACCCCCCCCCCCTCCCTCCCCCCTTGGTCTGTAAATCTATCCTTGCTGAAAAGTGAATTCCATCTAAGACCTATATTCGTGAATGTTGCAGAAGTTACAAGAACTTGAGGAAGAAATGCTACAGGAGGAAATTCAACCTTCAGTTTATTTCACTGAAGAAGATTCAGAACTTCTTCAGATTTACGACCACATCAAGAAAGCAACGACAAGTGACCAAGCTGGTTCTGCCGTCGAAGGTGGGTTTTTTCTACATATTTAAGTTGGTTGACAATGATCTGGCATTGGGTCATTCCAGAAAACACCCACACCTCCCCACAGAGGAAAACTGGAAATAACCCCCCCCACTCCTTTTGGACCTCCTAAAACTTTTACTATTATCCCATCCCAGTGGGGTGCTGAAAAAAATTCTAAATTTCAGACCCTGGTTTTAGGATATGAAACCGGAACCTATTGATAATAAGATTTGTGTTTCAGCTCTGTTTGATGTGGCTTCTACAAGTGGCTATCAAATTGTCGCCAGTACCAGCGAGGCAAAACAAATCAAAGATTTAGTCCTCACTAACATTCAGGGGCGTTTAGTTGGTGACGGAATTGACGAACAGTTGCCTACCATAGCTATTGTCACACATTACGACTCGTTTGGCATTGCCCCTGTAAGTATCCGAATAGTCGTTTTCACAATTGCATGTAGCCAGCAATTTCACAATTTAGATCAGCCAAAAACGTAACTATTATATAAATATAAGATTGTTCAAATTCAATACTTTGCTCAAGGAAAATTGTGTACCAGATAAGTGTTGCGAGGATGTTATGTAGCATAAAATAGATATTTGTCTGTTTTTAGTATGCAAAACAATGTCAGGTGACTTGCACTTAAAAGTTCCAATTTAGCTCAGCTGGTGCTAGGCCACAAGAACGTCACTTAAATTAAGAAACACAATATTTTTTAAATGCATTTGCCAGTTGAGAAACAAAATAATAGTAAAAAATTGTCAATTAAAATACAATTATCAATGATGTTTTAAAAGTGATGCCATATTTACAGCAATATAAGCAAAACTTACTGAACTTCAGAGATTATTTTCTCTTTGGCATACCATCTAAAATCTCTTCATTTTAGCACTGTCCTCTTAAGCAACTGTTTTTATGTTGTTTATATACAAAGAGAATAGTAATACTTCATACAAAATTGTTTTGGGAGATATTATATTAAATATGGCGACCAGATTTTATTCACTGGTAGCTACATTTGGCCAACTAAAACACTTTTAAAATTTCAACCCCTGGCTCTCATCTGTGTGTGAGAGATTGTATTTTTCTACAGCATTGCACAAAACATTGCCTTGTCTTTCTCAAGAGTTATTCAAAAACCTTTTCAAACAATCTCTATACCATTTCAAGGGTTTAACAACTGGAGCAGATTCCAACGCGAGTGGCGTTGTAGCGTTGTTAGAAATTGCCAGGATATTTTCAAGACTGTACAATGATGAAACAACAAGGGGAAAGTATCCTTTCAATAATTGTTCTGGATAAATTTTAGTTACTCTTAATAAAACTATAATTATACTAGAATTGCCTGTGATATATACCCAAAAATACGTGTATTAATTAATCTGGCAGCGTTTTGCATCGTAACGCTTGCATAAGAAAGCAAACAACTTTAAGAATCTTAAGTTTTATCACATGTGTTGAAGATTACACAAAAAAATGTCACAACTCGTCAACAAGAATACAAGATGTGTTCGCAACAGGCTTGTAGCAAGCTTGTCAACAAGTTGTAACAATGTTGTTATTTTATCAAGTTGCTACAAGGTTGTCACTCGCAACTCGTTGACAAATTGTTGAATTGCAGGACGATAACAAGTTGTTGGAACAACTTGTAACAAGTCTGTTGAGCTCAACAACCTTGTAGCAAGTTGTCAACAAGCTGGGAACAAGCAGTGCGAACACATCCTGTTGACAAGTTGTTGGAACAGCATTCCTACAAGTCTGCTGCAGGTTTGTTACAACTTGTGCGTTTTTACGTGATTCTAGCATCAAAAATCTGTTTGTGTGTGTTTGGTTTTCTTACATTCCATCTTATCAGATACAACATAGTTTTTCTGTTGTCTGGCGGTGGAAAATTCAATTATCTAGGAACGAGAAAATGGCTTGAGGACCAAATAGAAAATTCAGAAAACAGCGTTTTAAACGAAGTAGATTACGTCCTCTGTCTTGACAGTATTGGCGGCTCCAATCAATTATTTATGCACGTTTCGAAACCTCCAAAAGAAAACTCTCCTGGTTTTAAACTAGTTGAAGCATTTAACGAAGTCGGTGGACAGTATCCAGATGTTAATTTTACACTGGTTCATAAGAAAGTCAATTTAGCAGACGAGATAGTCGCTTGGGAACACGAACGTTTCTCGTTACGTCGCCTGGCTGCTGGAACCTTGTCGCATTTCAGTCAGCCGAAGGATTCTGGAAGAACCTCCATGTTTCAGACGAAGTAAGGGACTGGTCATAAAGTAACTGCTAGGGTGGGCTGGAGGTAAATCACATATTTTGCCAATAAGTTTGGTGACCCATCTTAGGAAGTAGATAAAAATTTCAAAGCCCAAATAATCTTACCAAATTTATTTCATGACCCACCCACCTAATCCAAGTTGGGAAAATACACTTTTATAATAAAAAAAAACTTGCAGGTATGAACTTTGTAAATATACACCGGCACTGTTTGACATACATACACTGTACATAATTCTACCAAGCTTGACCAACACATTCATCACCAATTACGATACTGAGCTGCTCTCCATTTGGTTGTATTTGCTGTGATTCGACCACTTCTTGTTGCTGTATAAAATAAAGTACTGGCTTCAATAGCATCATTTGCATTTGATAATTTTGATAGTTTGTTTATTTTTATTATTAATATCTTTATATAATATATATTTAACATGGGTTTTTGTTTGGTGGCCCAACCGTGGACATACAAAAAAATTGGCGGCCCATTGAAACTGCCCAAAGATTTTCCATGGCCTTTCCCAAATCACCCCCAGCCCACCCTAGCAGTTACTTTATGACCGGTCCCTAAGGTGACTCCATTCCTAAGCCTGGTTTCTATATGGTCGTAACGGTCGTAAAGATTGAGTCACGATCTTTCTCGTCAGCCGAAATACAACATTTTAGAACTGAAAATACGCGGAGTAGTTATAACTAGAGAATATTTATGATTTATATGTTAAAATTATTGTTTGTGGTTTACAGACCGTAAACTGTTATAAACTGGCCGTTGAGAAAGATCGAGACACTATTTTCACGACCATATGGAAGCCAGGCTCTACGACTACAGGATGAATTTTGAATCGTCGACTACATTCACATCACTTTACGTGTATTCACACTATGCCGTTTTAGTCTGTTTACAAATTCAATTAGCACTCATGTAAGCCCAAAATATTTCAAATAGAGCAAAGAAATTTAAACGAAAGGCATTCGACTTTACTGTTTTGAGACCTGAGATGCTTGGTTTGCAAGCTGTACAAAAAAGTAACGGCGTTTGTGTTGACACGAAGCCGCCAAGCGTTCGTTTTCATTTCGTTTTAGAAACCACATGTGCTCAAATTGGTACGGCAAAAGTGACATTTTCAAACATACAGTAGTTTTCAAACATAGTTTTGAACGTACAGTATGTAGTCTTTAAATATCCACAATTTCTTTTTTCGTCTTCACACGGCGATGCATGAAGATTGGAGACGGTTTATATGTGATGTAAAGTATTTAAGAATTTAGTTGAATCTATTTCTGAATTTATTATTTGATGTGGACATAATTTCGGACCGAAATATTTTCGGTTCTTTTCGTCAATGGCATAATTTGTATCTTTTTCTATTTTACTATAGGCCTGTAAATGCGAATACTTTAGAAAAACATATTAAGTTTATAGCAGAAGCCATTGCAAGACATGTTTACAACACGTCTTCAAAGGTATTTTTACATTTGTTTTTAAAAAAAGCTAAATCCTGGATCATCTTACAATTTGGGTGGCCCATCAAACTATAGTTACTTTAGAACTCGTATAGCTGTTCATTACAAATAGAGTTAGTTTAGTTTAGGTTTCCTCCTGTAGTAACACTGGATCAATAAGAGATGATCCTTACTGGACCTCTAGGAAGAACAGTTTGTAGAACTGATAGAGCTATCCAGTATATGAATAAAGTTAGTTTTGTTTATGTTTTACCAGTATAAATAGAGTTAGTTTAGTTCAGGTTTCCTCCTGTAGTAACACTGGACCAGTAAGAGATGATCCTTACTGGACCTCTAGGAGCTATCCAGTATAACTAAAGTTAGTTTATCAAGCCCCTTTCTCTATGAATCGCTCTCATTTTGGTTGCTACCATACCTCATTTGAGTCGAGAAGAGAAAGGAGATAAAATGTCTAAGATAAAGTCACTTCAAGATTTTATGTTGCTTGCAGTGAAAGAGACTTAGACGACATTTATGCATTTAACATCTTCCTCAACAATTGTAAATTGCCGTCTGAGGAAAGTCTTCATCCTCGTGCAATGTTGACATTTTCTTTTATTTTTAAGGTTTTCCGAAGTCATCCTGAAATATTCAGCGGTGGGATGGTATGTTAACTTCAAAACTAATGTTTAAATCGCCTTTTAGCACGTACTGGTTTTGTAATATACTGTACGTACTGAATGTTTTATGTACTGTTTAAACACGAGCAGGAGCGTTTTTTCAGATATAAAATGACAAGAGCGCAGCTCGAGTGTTTCATATCTAATAAAGCGAGGACTGCGAGTGTTTTAAATGGCTTATTTAAAAAACGATCCATCTGATGAGTTCATTGGCAAAGTATAATTTTAAAAATAAACGTCGCCTAAGCCGAGAAGATCAAAGCTAAAGATTATGTTAATGAACATGATTTTTTATCACATGTAAAACTACCGACATCGTAGTGATTTCCTCATGAATTCCTCATTTTCCTCATGAACTCTTAATGAGTTGTTTAAAGAGTCATTGTGAACCACAATACATTTGTTTACATCTTGCTTTCGGAAGTGACAGATAGCAACAAATGACGATTATAAACATTTCTTTGGTGCAATTTTAGTATAAAAAAGTTAAAATGAGCAAGTATAACCATAGGATGGTAGTAATATATTATGGATTGAAAACCGAAACATCTATTATTCCGCCATTAAAATGGCTGCCAAGTAGGTTTGGGCGCGCAATGCATTGTGGTTGACAATGACTCTTTAAAATATTACGCTTTACCTGCCTTTTAGGGTCTACATATGGAATTTGTCAAAACATGGTTGTCACACATGACCACGAATCCTAGAGCAGTACAATTTATCACAAAGAATCATCCGTTATTGAAAGGCTTAGAACTGGTACTGTGGTGACTTTATAAAACTCTCAAAATTTAGCAACCTATAGAAGACATTTCACTGTATTTCCTAGCAATGTTTCTCCAAGTTCGGTGAGCTAGCAAACATTTTTCAAAGCATTTGCTTAAACCTTTTCGTATTTTCTTCAGCATCTTTCAAAATATGTAAAAGAAGTGAAAAGAATTGCTATCAAGGCTGATAAAAGGTATTAGATTGAAACTTTGGTTTTTCGTATCTCTGAGGATGGTTCTGAAATAGATTGAGTTAAATTCCTGTAATAAACTGCTATCTGACTATACAGTAATTTCGTTAGAGCTATCCAGTATAAATAAAGTTGGTTTAGTTTAGGTTTCCTCCTGTAGTAACACTGAATCAATAAGAGATGATCCTTACTGGACCTCTAGGAAGAACAGTTTAGAACTGATAGAGCTATCCATTATAAATAAAGTTGGTTTAGTTTAGGTTTCCTCCTGTAGTAACACTGGATCAATAAGAAATGATATTTACTGGACCTCTAGGAAGAACAGTTTATAACTAATAGTGTTGATCAGTATAAATATAGTCCGTTTAGTTTAGGTTTCCTCCTGTAGCAACACGAGTAATTCAGAACTGTTGAAGCTATGTTATGAACCACCTTTCTCTATGAATCGCTCTCATTTTGGTTGCTACCATACCTTAATTGAGTCGAGAAGAGAAAGGAGATTAAATGTCTAAGATAAAGTCACTTCTAGATTTTATGTTGCTTGCAGTGAAAGAGACTTAGACAACATATAAGTTATTTAAATATTTTCCTCATAAAAGGTTACATAACTTATATCATCAATGAACGCGTAAGGAAAGATCACAGTGTCAATATTGTCATTTTGTAGAGATCCTGATTTTGTGTTTTACGATGCACTGGAGACAACAATGTTCGCATACAGGTTGGTAAAAGATCGCTCTTGGACAACATTTTAGAACCGATTAATGAACAGTTTAGAACTGACAGAGCTACCCAGTGTAAATAAAGTAAGTTTGGTGTGATGTATTTTTGAATCTTTGACATGTTTTCAGAGTGAAACCAGCAATCTTTGATCTTTTCCTGGCGGCAGGAATTGCTTGCTACGTTGGTCTGTTTTATCTCTCAATCATGGTAAGCTCAGTAATATGTTTTGACACTGGTTCTTTTTACGTGCCTGTTTATAGCTTTCGTATATATAAACAACCTCTCAAATGGAGTTTGACATCGTTCATGACAAACTGACTGACAAGATGGCTTGCTTTACTTTACATGTTTGTTTGTTTGTTTGTTTGTTTGTTTGTTTGTTTGTTTGTTTGTTTGTTTGTTTGTTTGTTTGTTTGTTTGTTTGTTTGTTTGTTTGCTTGCTTGCTTGCTTGCTTGCTTGCTTGCTTGCTTGCTTGCATTTGTTCACCACCTTTCTCTATAAATCGCTCTCATTTTGGTTGCTACCATACCTTACATGAGCCGAGAAGAGAAACGAGATAAAATGTCTAAGATAAAGTCACTTCAAGATTTTATGTTGCTTGCAGTGAAAGAGACTTAGATGACATTTAAATATGTACAAGCGTAGTTAAACAATGGGGGAATAGTGGCGCACCCCAGAAAGTCCACCTTCAGGGGAAAAAGTAAAAATTAAATAGTATTTAAGTGCTTTGTATGTTTGCATGGCGATAAAACATATAATAGTTTTGTTTGTGGAAACACCACATATTATTAGCACTGATGAAGATCCGGGCTTACGGATCGAAAGCTTTGCAGTAATAAATTTACGTGGTGTTTCCACAAACAAAACTATTATAAATAGTATTTCTTTTCGTTTCAGAACTTTCCTTTGTTGATTGACATCCTGCCCAAACCAGCAGGTGTCCTTAAGAGCAAATATACATGAAAACAGAGACATTTGAAATATAAGATAAGTGATAACCTGCCTGGGAACTTATTTTAGCTCATCTTATAAAATAATCATTATGTAATTGCGAATTGATACTGTATAAATTAATTTTACACTATCAAAGTTCCTTTGAACAAATTACAGTTTGGTCAAAGTGCGTGAGTGTAAAACCTCGTTCAAATGCTTGCATCAAAACACGGACAATACTTTCTTTGTGGAATATAATTAGATAATTTAATTGTATTTTGGACTTTAATGAATTTTTAAAATACGAAATGGAGTGTGTTGTTAGTATTTTACCAAATTGACATAAACGCAAATCTGTAGAGTCGCATAGCAGCTATGATAGAAAGATGAAAACGGACCCGCGTTTGTTAATCACTCACTTCAATGATCTCAAACAAAGCCCCGATATTAATAAACCTATAAAACAAAAAAACTTTAGTTTTAATACCAATAATAATGACTCTAGTTTCCACAGTAACGTTTTAAAGGATGCTCGGTTGCTATACTAAATTTTGTAAATTCCAATGGGGTTCCATACTCATTCACTTATCAATTGAAGTAAGTGTACAAGACGAGCTATCCCAAAGCACGTTGTCCACGTTGAATTGTATTTTCCCGCTAGCTTATTAACACATTGCACACCAGCTATCCAGGCGATTTGCTGATCTGAAATGGCTTCTAATAACAACACAATATCTACTAAATCTGAGGAAAACATCAAGTTCCCGCCTTTGTTGTGTATGACACTGAAAGATGCGAAACGAAAATCGGAATATGCCACAACGTTTTCGCCAAAGCACCGTCTCATCTACCCTGGCATCAAGCTATCGCCAACATTTCTGTACCAAAGTTCAAGAAATTTCGAAAGCCAGAGGCCTCGTCAAACGCGGCTACCTGGATTTGTTCCCAGAATAAACACAGGCGCACTACATGATTACAATTTCGTACACACTCGGGCATTCTATCATCCTCTGGAGCCAAACAGACAGTATTTTACACTCGGAGCTGATTGGGTGTCTGAAAAACCAGTACGAAAGAACAACCCGTTCTCATAGGAGTCCTGAACAATTGTACAGTAGAATTTCTGGTGATAGACAGATAATTTAGGCTACCTTTACGCTATACCAGATACAGTAGCTTTCGGAATGTACAACTTTCAGAAGTTGAGCGAAACAACATCTCTCCGTTGCAATAATTCATCTGAAAATAGCGTTCCTAAAAGGTACGGATAGGTGTTTTTCACGTCGCTACGGAAAACTATCCGGACAGTGTCAACCTAGCCTCAGATAGGATTGAGTGAATTCGTTTCCGATAATCAAATTTGTATGATTTTACCTTGTCTTTATGGATTCACGAAATCTGACAAATTCCAACACACCTAAGAGCTAGTGTGGCACTGAAGAGAAAAAGGTTGGATGAACAAAATTTTGATTGAGTATTGGATGAACAAAGTTTTGAATGAGTAAAAGGTTGGGTAAATGAAAAACAAAATAAACTCAAGGGTTGGGTTATACTAAAAATGTATTGTCATTTCCGAAGACTGACTCACTCAAATGTTGAAGACTAAAAAGCGATGTCAACAGTCATATGTCGATACTATATTGAAAATTATACGGATATCCTGTAGTGGTACAAGTCTTTTCAATTCCTCACCTAGTGATCTAAAGACTATTGAAAATTATACGGTTTCATCTTTTACAATAAAACTTAAAAGAGTTCTTCCTCCAATTGAACCGCGAAGTACAACATGTGGATGAATTTTCCTGCGCTATATGCAAACATGTTGTGCTTTGTCAATGCTTTGGTAACACATCATAAAACATGTACAGTCATATATAATTATAGTATCTTTATGAGGCACATAGGGACAAATATTATGTAAATACTTTTTTTCCCTTTTTAAATAAAGTATTAACTAACTACCTAACACAACATTCAACAGTGATGATGAATTTGTAATAAATTCGAATCTGTTACTGATTGTGTCCTCTACAGTATACGGATGCTAAATATGCTGCTGTTCTGTTTACTATTCAGACTGCAGGCCATAGTGACTGAAATGATAATTTCTTGCGAAATATAATTTCTTGTAGTAGACGATCAGTCCTCATCTTCGTTCAGACATGCTCATTGGATGTCTTCTGACCGGCACATTACGCGGGCGTCTCTTAACCTCGGAATGAAATGCAGGGTGTATGACGTAATCATGGCGATGCGGTGGAATTGTGGGACGGAAAAAGACGCGAGGACCAATCATATTCTCGTAACTTCTTTCACGATATTTTTGCAAAGTCATCTTGTTTATAGCTTCTTGTCCGTTTGCTGGCGCTGGGAAAATGCTTTGGTTTCCTTCGCTAGCTGGTCTGGAGGTTTTACTGGCTTTCGTGTCGTCTGTATATTGTTTTGGCTGCATTGTTTTGCACCTAGAGCGCTCTTTGCCTTTTCCAAATCTTCGCTGTTTGTTAATTTCATCGTAGTAAGTCAATCTTGACGCGTAAGGTGGTCTGAGGTACGTCGCGGTGGATACTTCGTCTACGCGGAATGTAGGTGATCCAACGGGTCGCTGTTCAAGCCAGACATGTTCAGGTAGCTGGCGATGACCATGCAATACTGATTTAGAATCCTTGCAGAATTTATTCAAGTACTCCGTCTGGTAACGGCTGCGCAGCAATTTCTCTGAGAGCTGAGGATGGCGGAAGTACAGCGAGGGCATTTTGTGGATCGTAGTGGATGTTTGTGGAGTCTTGATTAATATTTTTTGGATCGTAGTGAATATGATTTCAAAGAGTTAGGTTTCTTGGAAAGTGAGACATACTCGCGTGGATCTTGGATTCTAGGAATTAGAAATGTTACGTGATTACGAAGTTTCAGTCCACCATAAACCGCAGATTTTCTCCGGTTCAGGAACACTGAGCCAATAAGAGACGGTTCTTATTGAACGTTCAGAGCTAGTCTAGGAAGAACAGTTCAGAATTGATAGAGCTATAGTATCCAGTATGAATAAAGTTAGTTTAGTTTAGGTGTCTTCCTGTAGTAACACTGGATCAATAAGAGATGATCCTTATTGGACCTCCGCGAAGAGAAGAACAGTTTATCCAATATAAATAAAGTAATCTAAGAAGAAGAGCTATCCAATATAAATAAAGTTAGTTTAGCTTAGGTTTCTTCTTGTAGTATTAATATTGGACCTCTAGTCTAGGAAGAACAGTTTAGAATTGATAGAGCTATCTATCCAGTATGAATAAAGTTAATTTAGTTTAGGTGTCTTCCTGTAGTAACACTGGATCAATAAGAGATGATCCTTATTGGACCTCCGCGAAGAACAGTTTAGAACCGATATATAAAGTTACCCAGTATAAATAAAGTTTTGAAATTGGAATAGTGTTTGAAATTGGAGACTTGAGGATTATGATAATCTTTTTCGTTCTTTGAAGAGAAATACTGTCTTCTTTTCTCGTTCCCTGTTTGTATAGTTAGCAGCTTTTATTGTAAACGATAACATCAGCTAATTTTGCTAAAATGTAGTCGACTATTAGATCCAAATGTTAAACATTGCCATTGAATGTATCAACTACATACCGTATTGTATATTTTATCGGATTATATAATGACTAGTGAAGAATATCGTATATTAACAAGAGACGATAGGTGATACCATTCCGTTGTGCCAAGATACCCAGATAATTTACCAACGATGCGGCTGAACGTCGCTAGAACGAGCTGAACTCTAATGTCGACAAGCAATACAAATTAAAGTAGAATTAATATGTTTGACTTGTTGCTAGTAGCGACAGATAGTCATTTGAAACTGCTTGACCTTGTGAGACCTCGCAGCACGAGTTTAATTTATATCAAAATTTTAAGAACTATTTTTTGGCCTAGCATGTTGTGCCCTATAGTCCTTTAATGTTGCAATTATGGGCTTCGCCAGGGATTATTTTTGTGAAAGGTGTGGATTAGGACATAGCACAGTAGATACCGATGAGCGAGTACTGAACAGTACGTTGTCAAAACATAATCCTTCCATGATTAATATTTAATTATGAGGGCAAACATGTTATTTTAAATTCTCTCTGTATGCATAAATCATAATTAAAACGACGAAGATAAATGTTGTTGCATGACTGATTGGCATGCTTGACACTGGATAATTTGTCTTGAAATTGCGAGGATAATGTACTATTTAAAACACGAGAAGGACTGTTTTATCATATTTAAAACGTGAGGCGATGACATTGGCGAAGTAATTTTAAAAATCAACGCGTTGTCTAAGCCGAGAAAACCAAAGCTAAAGTTTAAGTAAATGAACATGATTTTTATCACATAAATCCACCGACATGGCAGTGATTTTCTTTGTCTTTTCCTCGTGAGTTTTTTAAATACAGTGTGAGTGTGTGACACACGCAAAAACGCACAAGTTGTTACAAGTTTGCAAAAACAAGTTGTTGACAACTTGTAACAAGCTTGATGGCATTATCAGACTTGTTACAAGGTTGTTCTAACAAGTCTGATACAGTCATGATAAACAAGAATGTTACAAGGTTGACGTTATATCATGACTGTATCGGACTTGTTGGAACAACCTTGCAACAAGTCTGATAGTGTCAACAAGGTCGTTACAAGTTGTTAACAGCTTGTTCCAAACTTGTTCCAAAACTTGTTGACAATTTGGGGCAAGCAATGCGAATACAATTTGTTGACGACTTGTTGCCAGACAAGATGTGAGATTTTTACGAGATTTTTTAATCATCTAAAATAAATAATAATTGATTTCTTCCCAATTATCACGGACCATAATGCATTGCGGTTACAATATGGCGATGATATTTGCGAAAAGGTCTATTTGCAAACTTTCCGCAAAATATTTCTCTTTAAAAAATGCGCGGTAAAAAGGTGCGCGAAAATGACGCCGTAGTGTGGTGTCGTCATTCATTGCGAAGCCATGTCAGCAGTTGTCAAAAGATGAGAAAATAAAGCGAAATTCACGCTCTAAAAATGAAAATATAAGCGAAATTTGTACATTTTGTAGCTCGGAACATAATGGAATATCTTGTCCTTGAATTGAAGTGGCCATTAGCGGTTAAAACGTGAGAAGATCGTCCTAAAATGGAAGCGAAACGTTGCTTCAATTGTCGTCGTGTGAGCTACAATCCCGAAGACTTCTGTCTCCACTTAAACCAACGACAGCCTTTGGAGGAATATATATCGTACAATGGATTAAAAGCTTTGTTTGGCGGGCAAAGGCCAAGCGTTTGTGCCGACTGCGTTTACGACAGGCTTCAAAATTGCCAACGATGTTCGCGAAAAGTGCCTTTGAGTTTGTATAATATTGAAGAATGGTTTAAATCGACTACCGACCGAGTTTGTCTGGAATGCATGGCTATTCAAGCAACACAAGTCGCTTTTCGTAACGGGCTTATGCTTAAGGATACCCTAAATCAATGCTTTCAATGCTCTACGTTCAAATCCATCTATTCGTTTCTGTCCATCTGTCATTTTAAACAGTTCGATGTGGTCTGTCGCGAATGCCACGTTCACAAAGACATTCAGCGATATCATATCGAACTGAACGCCAGATATGCTCAAAACCTAAGCCTTTCGCCTGCCCTAACACAGGTCCAAGTAGATCTAAAAGCTATCGATACTTTAGAGAAGCCTGTACTGTCTTATGCGCGGGTTTTGACGGATGGATCAAAGCTTGAACAGGATGAAACTCCAACCGAACAACCGGATGTTTTGGAATTGAATTCCTCTCCAAAGGAAGCGCCCTCATTTTTCCAGACTACTATGGACGGTATGCTATATTTAATATAAAGTACATGATTCTATATTCCCTAAGTACATAAATTTACTACATTTTTTAATATTTCCTAGTATTTTGTGGGATAGGTTTTAATTAGTCCATGTAGTCATGTTGGCATTTTTTTGAAAGTAACACCTGCCAAATGAATAATTTCTGAATAGTTTGAATGACAGCAGTCATATAAAAGCACAGGTGGTACAATATCCAGACACGGCAGGAGTCGAAGGCAATAATATCGAAGCACAATACACTGTCTGATGTATTGTGGATATTGACGTCACAGTGCAGAGTTTGTTGATTTTCTCTTACTAGAACACTGCACTAATAAAGGATGACCCTTATTCGACCACAATGATCCTGACTGGACCTTTAAGGAAGAACAGCTTAGAACTGATAGAGCTATCCAGTATAAATAAAGTTAGTTTAGTTTAGGTTTCCTCCTGCAGTAACACTGGATCAATAAGAGATGATCCTTACTGGACCTCTAGGTAGAACAGCTTAGAACTGATAGAGCTATCCAGTACAAATAAAGTTATTTTAGTTCAGGTTTCCTCCTGTAGTAACACTGGATCAGTAAGAGATGATCCTTACTGGACCTCTAGGAAGAACAGTTTAGAACTGATAGAACTATGCAGTATAAATAAAGTTAGTTTAGTTTAGGTTTTCTCCTGTAGTAACACTGGGTCAATAAGAGATGATCCTTACTGGACCTCTAGGAAGAACAGTTCAGAAATCATAGTGCTACCCAGTATAAATATTTAAAGTTAGTTTAATTAGGCCATATTTGCACCCTGTGCCTGACCTTCTTACAATGTATCTTACTCTGTCTAATGGCAGACAACTTTACTTGTCAAGGAGAAAGCACATCAATGGGTTAATTTGTACATTTCTTTATTCAGTGGGCATCTGTAGGATGGTGTTAGATGCATTTAAGCAATCACTTTATGAACTCGAGGGCAAAACAAGACTGGAACTGAAGATCCTTCATCAAGATCCCAATTTCTGGCAGGTTGTGCTCCGCAGCAAGCTCATACAAATGTCCCAGAAATTCTCGAGCCAGGCGACCAGCCGCACTTCGTTCCAGGAAGCCGAGATACGGTCGGCGTACATGGGCACGTATTGTTGTTCTCATGCAAGTTTGGTGCAAGCTGCTGTGAAGTCAGGATGCTTTCCTCCATTGTCTGAGTTTATTCAAACTGCCAATGAATCTAAGAGGTATGTTACAGATTCGGTTCATTGTCATGTGTGTATTGTTTTTTTCTCCCAACCAACCAATAGCAGTGTGTTGGTTAACCAACCAGGTTTCCCGTACTCAGGTTTCCATGCGTAGTTACCCAGGACCAATATTAGGTCGTCATTTTGGCATGTAAGTGTCCGAGATAGTTCTGTTGTTTCATGAAGTTTATTCCTCTAGAGCACTTCATGTGTGTTGTATCGGTGCTGGCCCAGGAAGCGAAGTCCTAGGCTTACATGAAGTACTGCCCAAAGACACTCATTGGTACCTCATGGACAGCTGTGAACAGTGGTCACATTCAGCTCAGTTGCTGCTGCGGAATATTCCTGGAATTAAGTTTAACTACGGTGCTTTCGATATCACAGCAAGGTTCCATCCAGCTCATGTCTTTAGGAAGGTCAGTTTTGCCATTTGTCATGAATGCTTTTATTGTATGTTCTGCCTTTTGATGCCCATTTAAAATAGAGAACAATCACCTGCCTTTCGGCAAGCATTTAAGCTAGAGAACAATCACCATTAACTCTTAAGTCGCAGGCTGTAGCAAACTTTCCACCCCCCTAAGTCGTGAGGAAGAGGTTATTTTGCAGGCCTCAGAATGACAAAACGTAACAAAGCAACGATTTTACTAACACTAACCCTATTCCAAACACCAACTCTAACCCTAATCCGTACCCTAACCCTACCCTAACCCTACTCTAACCCTACTCCAAGTTTGTTTCTAAACCAATCTTGAAGAAAAAAGTTTTGATGAACTGTCATTCTGAGGTCAGGGAAATAGTAATATATACCAAGTCGCGAGCAATATGGCGAATCTTCATTAAATTCAAAGGCATTCACTGAAATGGCAATAACTCAGAAACAATTTGATAAAATGTTCTGATTTTTTTCATCAAAGAAGAATGATAAATGATTGATCGATTTTAGTTTAAATAAGCTCCCACACTTAAATATATCATTAGATTTTTGGGTGAGAATTAGATACTTCTGAAAGAAGTATCAACACAGCAAGAACTATTCATAACAGACTAGTCTTGATAAGCACAATCTATAACAGCAATGGTTTTGGCAACAAATCATGCCTGATATTTTACTGAAAATTTGTCTAATACCATAGTTATACACATAAATGGGTCATCCATCAATGAAAGTACTGACAATTTCTAAATTTGTTTCTTATATTCTTAGGCAACTCTATATGCATTTGTCAAGTTTGTTTCTGCCATTCATTTCCTGAAGAAATCCACAACTCGTTTTCGGGAATTACTGAGACTGACGCCAGCTGGCTCCATGTTTTTGTTTGTCGACAACGCCCACCACAGCGTCACGAGGTTCATTGAAAACCTCGTCTTCCCCGACGGTGTTTACGAGGAACGCAAGTCGTGCAGAGAGAACGCCTTCTATGCGCTGTACACGTGCTATGCCGAGCTACACCCAACAGAAGAAAGCATGAAGTCGCCTTATGTTGCAGAACTTGTCAGTCTCATTAAATACTGGCTCGACAGGTCTCCACTCCTGGACTTTCATGTTAACGTTTTCCTCCTTGTGAAGAAAGCAAAACCCGTTGTGTGCAAATCTAATCCAGTTTCAGAGAAATCTTGACGATTCCAGGCATCGTAATTTCAACAGGATCATTTTGAACTATGGTCAACTACATTTGAAAGACAGCAATTGATTTATTCTCCAATCGAAAGGCACAGGCATCGTAATTTTAACAGGATCATTTTGAACTATGGTCAACTACATTTGAAAGACAGCAATTGATTTATTCTCCAATCGAGGTCCATTCCCAAACACCATTAGCCAACATTTCACTCTTTCAAATGACCTGGAATTTTTTTGCGGAAAAAAAAAAGAAAAAAATATCAAAAACAGTCTGAAATTGGTGACAGCATCTCGCTCCCTCAAAAAAAAAGAAAAAGAAATGTATAAAAAATAGTGTATTTATCTCGAAATTCTATTTATTTGTTTTCAAAAATTGCAAAGTTATACATAGATGTATATAGTCGTTTTATTTAGAAGTGGGGAATTTGTGTAACATAAGAATTGGTTTTCGCGTATAGTTACTATATATATAATATATTTCATAAGAAATATTGTATATGCTGTTAAGATATGTAATTCTGATGATATCGATTAGATATTGATAACTATGATCACAATTATTGATTAGTTATTGATGATTGTGTGCACTGCACAAAATAAATCATGTTGGCAATTATCCGATTTGTGATTGATGTGATTTGTCTTGATTTATATGATTGACTGCCATTCATATCACTTTGAAACCATTTTTAAGAGTTTGCGCATTTAACAGGATTTAATATAATCAGCCAATCATGTTTAATTAATTAACTAGCCTTATTCTGATTGGCTGAGTTTTGAAACCTTCAAATGTTTACCAATAAGATTTTTTCTGCGTCTGTACACCGTCAGGCGCAAGCGACGGTTCCAAGAAAAATACCATCTCGTTCCCAGAGTATTTACCACTACATAACCCGCGAACAGGCATACAACGAGATTGAGAAAAATATTGTTTTCCGAACCACTTCTCTCTTTACTTCCGGCATTTTCCAAATATGGTCATTCAAAACAATGTACGTCCCATATAAGGCAAGTCGGTGCGAAATCAAAGCGTCTTTTGCAACTTACATGTGTTGTCAATTTCAATACTAATTGCAACTCCGAAGACAACAAAACTTTACAAAGTCTCGAGTGTTTAGCCAGAGTTTGTGTTCCATATAGGACACACTTTGGCTTCGGGAGATTTGCCAGGCGGGAAACGGAAATTCGTGAGAAAGTGCATTTGTAATATTCAACTTCGATCTAACGATAAGAGTTCGCCTTGGGGGTAATCTGGTTTTATTCTCGAGTGATTTTGACACAGTAAAAATGTCGTGTTTTGGTGGAGAGAATAAGGCAATCGTGTGTCATGTTGTGCTGTTAGACGAAGCCGAAATTGCGATCGAAATTAAGGTAGGCTCAGCGAACAATTGCCTGTTTGTTTATTATCGTGTACCAAGCCGAGTTGAATTACATTGGATAAATAAAAGCAGGTCTTTAAGACGCATTGTGTGTGGTTTATGTATGATAAAATCACTGCTTTAGAACCAAATAAGACCGTTGGCATTAATTGAATTGTGGTATTAAAAGGGTTGGTCGATAGCATAGGTAGCAGTCTTGATATAAACGTCCTTTTGTGGTAGATCTTCGCTAGACACAACAAGTTAAATATGTAGGCTTGTAGCGAGAATTCACCACAAAAGACTTGTGAATTTGGTGGTTAATTAAATCAAATGATTCACACCTAACTTGGCCAATTTAAACAATTCTCATCGAAACTTTGAGACGGCTACTTATGTTCGAACAAAATCCATATTTAGCGACATATAAATAAAGCTACTTAACACCAATATTAACGAGATATTTACAGTCTCGGTGTCAGACGCACGCGAACAACCCTTTATAATTTCACGAAACTTTTACACCTCGAAAACACGTTTCTCGCACGTGTTTGTTTTGAAATGTGTCAAATTGGGGAAAATTTTATGCACATTTGATTGCAGCTTTTCAATTTATCGTCGAAGAAAGATCGCCCACGGTTTTATATTTTGACATTCGATATTGTTTATACAAAACACTACCAATCTGTATAAAATATCATATTCCCGAAATTCAACTATATATATTGCTACTTTTTGCAAATTCTAATTTCAACACTACATTTTCGCGTTTTAAAACATGCGCGAAAAACGTTTATCAATGGAAAATTTTACTACACTTTTCTGGTTATCAACCAAAATATGCAATGTCTTGACACATTTCGTTCTGCACTCTTTGCATAAGAGGATTTAACTTGACAAATTCAAGTTCCCCAATTCCAAAGCGTTTTAAATTTACAAAAATGGCAGTTTTTCACACCGAAATTATATGTCATGCGACCTTCGATGGCGCTAGTCAAGTGTTTGTAGTAATAAAAAACTAAAATTAGCAATTTTTTGTCGGTTCTAGTTATTTAAACAAGTTCTCTTATGTTGCCATAGTGGTCGATGGATCAGCACAATTGATAAGGCCAAAGGTTGCGTTCTTTCATATATTAAGCCTCTAATCCTTTGTTGACTTTTGTCTCTCACAAAGAAATCTTTTTCGCCTGTATGTCATTTATGAAAGTCAAAAATCTCCGACGGTGCCTTTAATATATTGATGCGTTTATATTGCAACTCCGAATTGGCAAAACGTTTTTCAAAGGCCGAGCAGTTTTTTCACGTTAAAATGTACTCGATTTAAATTACAAAACTACTTCTTGCTCAGCAACAGAAGACGAAACAGATCGGCAAAAATATTCATCAAATGCACAGCTGTATTGTGTCTATTCGTGAAACTAAAAATCCCAGTTAATAAGGCCGATTTTTGCCTAAAAACTGTCGCATTCAACGTGCTTTCAACTTGAGTTGCACTGTGCGAGTCAATCTGTTCCGTGATTACTTGAGCGCAACCGCGTGAAATATTAGAATTTCCTCCACAATGCAATGTGCCTTTTTCTATATTAACTTATTACACTAAGCGAAACTGACTTATAAAAGCCTTATCAAGCTAAACTGGTAGCATAATTTCAGTGTTATTTAAAGTCCCTTTGTGTGACCACAGATATCAGATAATGAAACAATTTTAATTTATAGATAACATATCTTGCTTTATATCTTATCTCAAGTAACAGTTGGGAACACTTCACAGAAATTCTTCACGCAAATTTTCTAGCCTGCGCTGCAGACGTCATATTTACACGTAATGTAGGGTCTGCGAAGTCGCGCAAAAATCGTGTTTGATATATGTGAATTTCCCAGCAAAAGTTGAGAAGGCTTATTTTGATGCTCAATCAATCGATAATTTTGCAAATGAATAGTGGTTTCAATTTACAGACAGAGGGAATGGTGTACGATATTAAACAGTTTAAACTACAATGATTATAACGGGTGCATGACAAAATCACTTTACCTAGGCATGTTGATATTACACGTTACCAAGGCAACGCGTCAGCTTTTTTTTTCAGTGCAGAGACAAGTACAAACAAAACACAATTAAATAAACGCAGGATTTATAAAGTTTACGATGTAGGCCAGAAATCTAAGCTCACTCAAATATGACTGTTAGACGGGGCCCGCTTACAGGGAATATTTGAATTTGCTGCAAAACGCCCGCACACTTTGTCAAGAAAGCGAAAAAGTAAGAAAAAAAATATCCCTGGAAAAATTCGTAGTGGATTTTTAAAATTCTGCAGACTCTAAACTCTTTTGGAGTGAAGTGCCTCTCAAAACTGAGTTAAAATTATCCGCACGAAAATGTTGCAACATTGACGATCGTTTGGGTGTTTGCAATGCGGTTGACATAAAATAAAGTATAATTCACGATTTTTTATCAAGACCATAAAATTTGGAACTCATTACCTTCTTCAATAAAAAGCTCTAATAGTCTACATTCGTGTAAAAAATCTCTTAAACAACTGATTAACGAGTTGCTTAATATGTGCCCTCTGCTTCTTATTACAGTAAGAAACAGACGAAGGGCCCTAACCTAACTCTAACCTTAACCCTATGGTTCGAAACGTCGAAATTCTCCTTATATTTTTCGTACGATGTGGCCTCGTTTAAAAGCTTCCTGCTTCTAGAAGACTCCTCGCCACGTATTTACGTATTTTATACAATGTATTAGTGTGTATTCGTAACTTTGTGCCTTGTGGTAAATAAAGGTTTGATTTGATTTGAATTTGACTGGTATAGCATCATGGTCCTTTCTTACGCGCAGAAATAGAAATTCATGAGTTAATTAAGGTCATTAAGGACCATTGTATTTTTATGAATTTAGGCCCATACGAAAGGTCAAGAGCTTTTAAATCAAGTGTTCAATCGAATGAACCTGTTTGAAAGAGATTATTTTGGCCTGAGATTCTTGGATCACTGCGAGGAGGCTGTAAGTCAAACAACGTACTAAATTTTGAATTTGATTTGCGTATAAAACTAGTGAATTGTGCTTAAAACAGAACTAAACCCCGCACCTTCTAATATGTTTGTTTAAAAAACTCGTAGAGATGGCTGGATCCAGAAAAGTCTATCATAAAACAAAACAGAAGTGAGTAGTACACTAACTCTTCTTTGACTGCATCGGTGAAAAGATGTCAGATGTCATCGTTCTAAGTAATGTTACATTCTTTTTTATATTAGATATTTCTGTATTCTACTTTGGAGTGAGGTTTTATTCCTCTGACCCGTGTAAACTGCAAGAAGAGATTACTAGGTAAGTTAGTTAAACTTTGAGCAGAGGTGGTACCTCTTCGAGCTTGGGACAGCGCACGTTCCTATATATGAGACCCACGCAGAGTGAAAAATCTACAAAGTGGTTTTTTATTTTACACAAATTTACCGGTTTTATCTATCTAAAGTTACTATCATATTAGTTAGTTAAGTTACTATAATTATATTGTACCTCTTTACTACTTAAAATTGCCCTTTAAAAACGGCCATTTTAAAACTAATTAAATTTGTTTTTTCCCTAATACCTAATGTCCTAATGGCAGACTGTTCCATAAGACTGGCGCCCAATACGCAATATTCAAACGATTTTCTTTTACTGTTCCTACGTGGCTTGGGAATGACCAAGTGTCCATTTACTGCCGATCTTGCTAGCGGCGCGAAAAAGCACCTAGCTATCCGATACGAATGTACAATTTTCAGAAGTTGAGCGAAACAACATCTCTCCGTTGCAATAATTCCTCTGAAAATAGCGTTCCTAAAAGGTACGGATAGGTGTTTTTTCATGTCGCTACGAAAAGCTATCATGGTACAGAGTAAACGCATAGCCAGTTGTCAGTCTACCCAAGGCAGAGAACTATCTCTAAGTGTACATTTCAAAAGGAGCTCTTTTAAGACGGTTGTTGCTCAAGTTTGGACACTTTTTACCCCTTCTGCCCACGTAAGACACGTAAGGGTTACTTCGAACATACGTTAAACAACAAAATCTAAAAAATAACTGAACACTTTCTGAACTGATAGCAAAATCATTTATTATATAATGATAAGTCGATATCCCACATGCAGAAGCCTGAGCTCACTAGTGTTACGACCTGTTACCGTGCCATAAAATCAAAAGTTATTTTGTAATGTACTTTTAGGTACTTCTTCTTCCAACAATTGAAAAGGGATATCTTACAATCCAGGTTCGTATGATTATGAAAGATTTGGAGGTTTACTTAAAACGATACTTTTAAAAAATCTTTTTGAAATTGGAATCCAGTGTATATACACACGTAAAAACGCACAAGTTGTAACAAACTTGCAGCAGACTTGTAGCAATGCTGTTCCAACAACTTGTCAACAGGATGTGTTCGCACTGCTTGTTCCCAGCTTGTTGCTAGTTGTCAAGGGCTTGTTGACAACTTGCTACAAGGTTGTTGAGCTCAACAGACTTGTTGCAAGTTGTTCCAACAACTTGTTATCGTCCTGCAATTCAACAATTTGTCAACAAGTTGCGAGTGACAACCTTGTAGCAACTTGATAAAATAACAGCATTGTTACAACTTGTTGACAAGCTTGCTACAAGCCTGTTGCAAACACATCTTGTTGACAAGTTGTGAGATTTTTACATGTGCACACGCGACTATTACTTTTAATAAATATTTACATTTTACATATATTGAGTGCTTGTCTTCCTTGCTTCCTTGTCTGGCAAATTTATTTCTTCATTTTCTTATTTTCTCAGGCTCCACTGTTCATTTACTGTCGCCACAAGGTTGTTCGCGTATGTTGTACAAGGTATGCCTCCGTGAATTTCATTTTAATGTATCCGTGATCACTGAACACGCTTGATTAGATATAAAACGTCGAAAATTACTTTCTATTTTAGCGGAACTGGGTGATTTTGATCAACAAAGACATACAATGGGTTATGTGTCAGAGTTTAGATTTTTACCCAATCAGGTACGTGTTGACTACGAAGGCATTTTTTTCCTATTTGCGATGGAAAGTGTCCAAAACCCAGGGCTGCAAATAAATATTTGACTGGACAGGACAGTTGTCCGATCACTTTTAATTTTGGTCGGACATAACTTGAATTTGGTCGGACAAAAACCAACACCACTAAATTTGGTCGGACATATATACGTCACAAGATATATATAAGTCACGAGACAAGTATGTATAGCCATTCCGGCGCAACGTTAAGTAAAATGCTAGAATGCCTCGTACATTTTATTGCAAAATGCAAATTGAGTGAATTTGCAATCGGATTTTGTCACAGCAAAAAAATGTATAATGTGACAATTTTTTTTTTGTGATCGGACCAATGTCCGATTAAAATTACTTTTACTCGGACATTTGCCAAATTTAGTCGGACATTGTCCGATGTCCGACAGTAATTTGCAGCCCTGAAAACCTAAAATCTTTTTGGTGTTCCTCTCAAAATTACTTTGTTTTAGCTTTATTTTGTAGTTTACACGCAGTTAGCAACCTTTTTAAATGTATCTGGCGGTTGAGAAACACAAAATAATAGTTGAAAGAAAATTGTCAATCTTAGGGAGGTCCCTGTTCGATTGTATTAATTGTATTTTTAATATTTATTTCAACAGTCTGAAGAAATGGAAGAACAAGCGGAACAGATTCACAAAACGTTAAAGTAAGAGCTGCTGTCTCTTTATTTTATCCGTTTGTGAATTCCAGAAGAAAATTTCATGGACGTGAGTTGAGAATCTTGCTTTCTTTTCTGGTGTTTTAGAAACATGGTTCCTGCTGATTGTGAACTGGAGTTTCTGGACAAAGCAAAATGGTTGGATTTATATGGCGCTGATATGCATCACGTTCGAGTGAGTTGGTTTCATCTTCATCTGAGATATTGCCTGAATTTTAGGATATCCATGTTTCACCTACATCAGGTCGTGTACACACGCAAAAACGCACAACAAGTACACACGCAAAAATCTCACATCTTGTAGCAAGTCTACCAACAAGCCGTCAACAAGTTGTGTTCGCACTGCTTGTCCCAAGTTGTCAACAAGTATGGAACAAGCTGTTAACAATTTGTAACAACCTTGTTGATATTATCAGTCTGGTTGCAAGGTTGTTCCAACAAGTCCGATACAGTCATGATATAACAATATCGTTACAATCTTGTGTCGTCAACTTTGTAACATTCTTGTTATATATACTTTGTAACAATCTTGCGACAAGTCTGATAATATCAACAAGGTTGTTACAAGTTGTTAACAGCTTGTTCCAAACTTGTTGACAACTTGGGACAAGCAGTGCGAACACAACTTGTTGACGGCTTGTTGCCAGACTTGCTACATGATATATGTGAGATTTTTGCCGGTGCATGGTCAATCAGTGAGTACGAAACTGTCGAAAATCAGAAACAGTTTTGTCAACACTATATTACTGGTTTTGTCTCAGGGAGATGACGGAGTCGATTATGAATTTGGAATCAAACCATCTGGACTTTTAGTGAAGAAACGCGGAAATATCATTGGAAATTATGTTTGGTGAGTTTGGGATTTTTGGGACGATTCACTTCATTGTCCATGGTGAAATATTATTGATGCTCTTCATACATGGCGAAATTTTACAGAAAGATTACACCCGCACATTTTTTGCCTCTATTGATGAACAGCAATAATCTACAGGGTATCTAATATTGACGCAGTAATAAATTAGCCTTTCGCACGGCCCATTTGGGGGCACTGCCTCGCTCACATTTGAGAGTCTCTGCACCACGAAATGCGATTATAGTTTGTATAATGGTAAATTTACAGTTACGACTTTTAAAAGTTGCTTTTCACGTTGTTTGACTGATTGTCTAGAATCTCTCACGAGGGCAGACAGTACCCCCAAAATGGCGGATTTTGGCCCTCGTGAGTAAGGCTAAATTAGTTCTTTTCCTCTTAACGTTCTTAGGCCAAAAATATCGAAGTTGTACTTCAAAGGAAAGAAGTTTTATCTCTCAGTTTGGGGAAAAAATGTAAGTGTCGTTTTATAGTGTATTGGGGTCGCTTGTACGAAAGCCGATATCCGCCAGACAATGACTTTTTTCGGTCGTTGTAAAATGCTTGAGAGCTATGTAAAAAACGGATATCGCATTCGCATTTTTTAAAAGTTTTAAATATTAAATTTTGATTTGGGTTATCCGTTACATGTGGATGTATGATCAAATGGGCTTTACATCAACGATATTATACGCTTACCTAATTAGGCTACTTACTTAGCTTAGACTATTTACCTTTACAACAATTGTGATATTACTTTCTTAACTGTGTTTATCCTAACCCACCCTGTCAATTCTCCCTGTGGGTGGAAACTATAGGGCACCCGGAAAAACCCACGACTTTCGACAGAGCCGTACACACGCAAAAGTCTCACATACCAGGTGATCTCGTGTTCGTATTTTAGCCAATCAGCGCTCAGAAAGGGTTGTCCCCATAGAAATCCATTTTGATGTATTCAGTCAATTATATCTTTCGTTATTCTTTATGAAACTAGTTGAAATTTTGTAATTATGTTTGCTTATGAGATATATAGCTCTGACAAAAATATGGAATCGAAATAAAGTATATTACAGGAGATATTCAGTTGTTTTAATCATAAAATGGATTTCTATTTGACAACTAGTGCCATTACTTTTCCGCGTATCAAGATCATCTGGTATTCATATATTGTAGCAAGTCTGCTAACAAGTTGGCAACAAGTTGTCTTCGCACTGCTTGTCCCAAGTTGTCAACAAGTTTGGAACAAGCTGTTAACAACTTGTAACAACTTTGTTGATATTATCAGACTTGTTGCAAGGTTGTTCCAACAAGTCCGGTACAGTCATGATATAACAATATTGTTACAACCTTGTGTCATCAACCTTGTAACATTCTTGTTATATCGTAACTGCATCAGACTTGTTAGAACAACTTTGCTACAAGTCTGATAATGCCATCGAGCTTGTTACAAGTTGTTAACAGCTTGTTCCAAACTCGTTACAACAACTGGGAACAAGCAGTGCGAACACAACTTGTCGACAGCTTGTGAACAGATTTGTAGCAACTTGTTTGCAGACCTGGAACAACTTGTGCGTTTTTACGCGTGTAATTGAGTCCGCATGACGCCTGAATTCTGCAGAGTATTATCAGATCTGCAGCAATGAAGTTCAGCCACAAAGACCTTATACCGGAGATATTTTCATCGTATGGTATAGTAATGTACAAATGCATCAAGTGAGAAATTGATTTTGAGTTTTCATTTAAGAAAAACAGTTCAATTCATAACCATATTACCATAACACACGTTGCAGAAACAAGTTGCATCTTCCTCGTGTTCTGTAAGATTTAGTGAAGAAGAGAATAGTTATCATTCCATGCAGCAAATGAGCGGAATAGCTTAGATGCATGTAAACATTGGGCAAGTTTCGTCGCTATCTTTTTCTAAAGATTATCTGGAGGACCTTTCATAACTTTTTAGCGTATATAGATCTATTGTATATAATGTAAATAATTATTTTACTATATAGGTATTTGGTACTTTGGACATTTTAAACTTTAATATTATATGTATAATATGTAATGTTATTTAAAATATTGCCAGGACCCTATAGTGGAAATCGCCTCGGCAAGTTGGACTTCCTGTACAAATATTAGTACTAAAGCGTACTGTATGTTTGTTATAAATGTTAATAAAATCTTTTTAACAACAGGAAAAGGAAGACAGTTATACGTTTGTCTTACCAAGAAAGTCTTCGTGTAAACATTTGTGGAAGAATTGCGTGGAACATCATGCTTTTTTCAGGTATATACAGTACACCAAGAGGTCGCAGTATTTGAACAATTTGAAATAGAATTAAAATTGATTTAAAAGACTTTTAATACCTTATCTTGCTAACCTCGTGGTCTGCTTGCAGATTGGAAAAATGTAACAACAGCGCTCCACCAGCTGAGAAACTTTTCCGTTTTGGATCGAAACATCGCTACAGTGGTCGAACCCAATACGAGGCTCTTCAAGAAAGCATGCGAAGAAAACGTCAAGCTCCAGAAGTACACAGGTAATCAGTTAGTACTGTCAAATACGCATCCTTTCAAAATTCTCTAATTTTTGTAAGTACTAATTCCTGTTTGAATATCACAAAATAAACTAGAATAGAAGTTTTCTTTTGTTACAGAAAAACAAGTAAAAAATATCCAAGGCGAAGTTTTCAAGAGAAGCGAAAAGGTATCCCAATTGTACACACATAAAAATCTCACAACTTGTCAACAAGATGTGTTCGCAACCGGCTCGTAGCAAGCTTGTCAACAAGTTGTAACAATGCTGTTATTTTATCAAGTTGCTACAAGGTTGTCACTCACAACTTGTTGACAAATTGTCGAATTGCAGGACGATAACAAGTTGTTGGAACAACTTGCAACAAGTCTGTTGAGCTCAACAACCTTGTAGCAAGTTGTGAACAAGCCGTTGACAACTTGGGAACAAGCTGTGAACAAGCAGTGCGAACACATCCTGTTGACAAGTTGTTGGAACAGCATTGCAACAAGTCTGCTGTCGGTTTGTTACAACTTGTGCGTTTTTACGTGTGTAGATTAAGGTATACTGCACAAACCGTATCGTTGCCAAGATACCACGTCATGTATTCTCTATTCTGTAGCAACGCCAGGTAGTCAAGGACGCAAATCTCCCTCTGGATTACGTACACATTCTCCACAGGCAGCAAACGGAAACAATCGATGGTAAGTTGCAAATAGCATTAAATAAAAGCACCGCTCAAAAAGAAAGTCCCTATACTAAATGTATCAGCATAAATTCCAAACAAACGAGTCCCTGATAATCACACCTAACACTAATTAGACGTATGGTAGCTTTGCCTAAATATGCCTTTATGGTTGCCAACGAATAGGCTTGCTGAATAGTGAATGAATGCTTGTTTACATTATCAAAGTTTCTGTGACCACAGTAGGAATTTTGCATGGGTAAAATCTAAGTTTTGAAGAATTTGTAAGAAATGTTTGTGGGAACACTTACTCACTGTTTAACATTGAATCAGTTTCCTCAAACATTTCTTACAAATCCTTCAAAACTTAGAATTTTCCTATGCAAAATTTCTACTGTGATCACAGAAACTTTGATAGTGTAAACAACGCTTGAGTCTGATTACACCGTATTTAACATGTTAATTTTGAAATTGGGTATTTTTGTATTCGGTGGAGGTTATAAGTCAGCCTAAATCATTCTTTCAAGCATCAGTGATCCATTCTTTACAGAGCAATAAGCAAGCTACCATAGGTCTAATTTGATGTGATTTTTATGGACTCATTTGTTTAGAACTTGTGCTGACATATTTAGAGGGGAATTTTCTTTTTGTGCGGTGTTTATTAGATTCTATATATACATTGTCAAGCATTTACAAAAACTATAATTTTTCCTCATTTGCTTGAAGGTCGCAGTCCAGTGCAGAACCAAAAATGAATGGCGTCTCTAGATCCAGGTAAGCATATATTCCTGTTGCATTTAGAGCGGATTCAGAAATAACAATTGGATATGGTAAAGTTATTCTAAATCCCAGAAAATGTTCCTTTGTAGTGGTCTTTACACAAATGGCGAGAGAACGCCGAATGGTAGCAGTCACCTTGCGAAATTTCCGAAGTAAGTGGATTTATTGCAGAAGATGAATTCACCATCAATACTTATGAATATGTAATTATATACTTCAATCATTTCATAGTCGACTAACTATCTAATTTATTTTTTTATAGACCAGGAAGGCGCCCAGGACATCTTAGTGGCAGTGACACTGAAAGTGGACGTCGAAGGTATGAAATGTTACACCACAAGTAAAGCTTGTCTTCCCATGGTATGTTCAACACAAAGTATATGGTGTGTTGTTGTCGGTATGGCATGGTTCACTCTGATTCGTCACTCGTTGAACCAAATGATCGCAGAAAACTTGTCGTCTATTTATCCATCTTATGAAAAATAATACAATTTAAAGATTGAGGTCAAACAGTGTTTACGATTGAGAAAAGTTGTAGGACCCAATTTAAAATAGCAGTTGTCTCAGCTTGAAATGTAAGCGCTGTATAGAAGACGTGATGATCTGTATTTTGCCGTTGTAAAACAGAGCGACGGCGACGTTAAGTTTAATTGTTAATTTCTGCTCATTTTCTTGTGTTAATATGTTGTCCGGCCTGTTGACGTTCTTAATAGCAGTAGTTCTTTATAATTTTAAAATCCCCGTTGACGGAACGTATATTTTCTTCTGTAGAAGAGGAGGAAGAAATTATGTTTCGGATGATGAGGCTGAAGTAAGACGTCGAAGGTAAGGATTTTAATCTGGTTCTCTTTCACCTACACGCGTAAAAACGCACAAGTTGTTACAGGTCTGCAAACAAGTTGTTACAAATCTGTTCACAAGCTGTCGACAAGTTGTGTTCGCACTGCTTGTTCCCAGTTGTTGTAACATGTTTGGAACACGCTGTTAACAACTTGTAACAAACTTGATGTCATTATCAGACTTGTTACAAGGTTGTTCTAACAGGTCTGATACAGTCATGATATAACAAGAATGTTACAAGGTTGACGACATAAGATTGTAACATTATTGTTATACCATGACTGTATCGGACTTGTTGGAACAACCTTGCAGCAAGTCTGATAAGATCTGTTAACAAGGTTGTTACAAGTTGTTAACAGTTTGTTCCAAACTTGTTGACGACTTGTCGGCAGACTTGCTACAAGATGTGAGATTTGTTCGTGTGTACTGTTCATTGAAATTAAATCTTTAGATGCATGCTCTCTCTCTCTGTAGACATCGACGAAGACGGAACAACAGAGGCTACGCGTCAGCCGGTGATGCAAGCGGTACGGAAACTGAGGGTGCGAACTATACAGAGCGACCGAGGGCGAGGTCACGAGGTTATTATACTGAAACGGAAGATCCCTATGATTCCACAGCGCAATGGGTAGACAGCACTCAAAATATACACCAGGCCGCTCGAGAAAGGTAAATTGTTGGAATGTATTTTTCAGGATTATTTTGAGAGGATACAGTGTCAGAAATATCAGTACCGCTCAGAAATACCCGAACTTAAGGCCCGGTCACAC